GCTGGACCCTCCAACGCAATAGTGGGCCTCCCGGGCACGGTAGATGGACCCTTGTGTGCCCAAAAGCTGTTGCAAATGCAGTTTCAATGAACCATCCGCAGGCACTGGTTTCACCAACCCAACATGTAGTTGATCGATCTCTTTGTCTTCCAGGTCAGTCAGATTGACATGCAGCACTTCTTTCAAAATGGACGCTTCAAAATCATCAGAAACACGTCTCATGTTCTCTGAAAACCTCTTGGCCACTCGATGTTTTCTTTCGTGTACGAAACAACCTGCAACCACTTTGTGTGTAGCATACATCTCTGGTAGATGCATCAGGTAGTGGTGTTTGGGAACCCAAAGGCTGGAACCCCATGCTTGCTGATGGCTCTTCACAAAAGCGGTGATGCTACTATCCAGATTGGCAATGATTGGTGCGGTGCATTCTTTCCTGAGGGCCAAGAGTACATCCAACACCCTCGCCAAAGCCATGTAGCTCTCCACCGCCGATGCTACACTGTTGGGAAAAGAGGCTTGGTTCAGGGCCAGGAATGCACGAACCACCATATATGCTCCAAGACCCTCTGAAGCCGAGCACTTTACAACATCCTCCTGTTTTTTTCTGAAGATGTTCTGGCCTGTCACCGAACGACTGGCACTGCTCGCAGGCCAACAAAAGCCAGCAAAGAATGAGTGAATCTCAGATTGCTGGATTTTACATTGCCTTTTCAACAAATCCACCAAGGCACCAACTTCAATGTTCCAAAGACCGTGGACAAGCAATGTGTGCATGTAATCAAACTGCAGCATGCCCTCCACCTTGATACCATGCTCCGGGCTCGCTGAGCCGTCTCCCAAAATTCCAAAAGGATTGTAAGACCAGCCCAGTTTCTTTTCCAAATCTTCGAAAGTAGCCTTGGAGACTGTGCCATGGGCTTGGTGCAATTTTCGAAGTTTTGCTAAAATAGTGTTGTCCCCAGCCCGAACCCACTTGGTCTTCTCACAACTGGTGCTCGGCACCAATGACCTATCACCATAACGGTGCAGGTTGGAAGACTCACTCACCAGGTTCAAGCATAAAGGGCAAAAAAGGATGCCGCTGGCTCCTCGGAAGTTAAACACTTCCTTCAAAGCAACTTCGTCAGCGAGGAACATAGCAAGTTTTGCAAACTTGATGTGGACTTCATCGCCCACCCGCAACTGAACACCCATATGCATATTGATGGGAGAGAAGAACAGTTGTAACGCCTTCTTGACATAACCGCTCATTCCCCCAACCAACTTGTTCACGATGGATGATCTGGCCAGACCAAGAGTGAACCAAAGCTGGTCCACAGACATTCCAGGAGCACATTTGATTCCCCAGTAAAGAATCTGGACTTTTCGAGTTGCTTCATGTCTCAATTGGTTTCCAGGACTCACTTCGTCGCAATACAAAACAATCCTTGGCTTCACAATGGCACCGCACATGATTCAAATGGAATCTAGTATTTTTGATAACAAAAAATGTAATGCACAGTCAGAGTTGCTCGAATGCATCATTTGGTGAGGTGCCCAGGTCTACAAGGTACTGCTGAAAGTATCTGATGAAAGATGGACATTTCTTGCAGCAAACCTGTAGGAACCACCATGGATGAACAAACGGAAGCTTTACAGTACCAGTGTGCTTCCCCTTTGTGTCCAAACATTCAAACTCCATGTACGTGATGGCATCCCCAATTGAATTGCTCCAGCTCGCCAGTTCACGCTCCCTGGCTCTTTTCACAGAGCTTCTGCTAACCCCTTCTGGTAGTCCAGCATTTTTGATTTCTTTCAAGACTTCACTCAAAGCAGATTGGCTAACATATCGTTTGCGCCCAAACGCAGCCAGATGGGACATGGCTCAGTTCACACGCATGTGACTTGCAGCACGTGGGCGCTGTATGAAACACAAGATGGACATGCCATCGAAGGGTTTAACAAGATGGAAAGATCCAAAATAATCTCCTGATATCAATGTGCAAAGGTGCAGTCTCTTTGCAAAAGCCACAGCTTGGTATATACAAGCAAGTTTGATCAAGTATACATTGTTTGGAGCAAGCCCCAGCTCGACAACATGTTTAGTGTTCATCGCGTATCACTATGTACGAACAGAGCTTCCTTTTTCACACTGCTGCTTGCGGTGGTCTCTGATCACGTATGACAGCACTGCTCGCCAACCCCATCATGCATTGGCATCAAAAGGAAACAGGAGGTTTATGCAAACTTGTGTGCAAACAGATTGAACTATATGCCAATGCAACCCCTGCAAGCAAAACAGCCGTGCAGAACGTGTTCCCAGAGACGCATGGGACACATGCGCGAGCATGCCCTGCGCGGCGGGCAAAACCCCTGCCGAGAAGAAAAGGTGCATATGTGCATATATATATATAGCAGCATCCGGCTGGCTTCACCAAGAGAGATATAAAGGACACATTGAGACAATGGTATGTTTTTGTAAAGCAATATGATGCAAGACATGATGTTGAACAACTTGCTTGGAAGCTCACATGTTTTCGGCTTCCTCTATCACAGCCAGCGCCCTCTGCCAAGCCACTGAAGGGTTGCCTTTCCAGTTGACCTTGAGATCGCAACGGTCTGAACTCTTACGAAAGACCCTCCAGCATTCGCCCGCATCAGAACGATGAATCTTGCCCTGTCTGTAGTAGCAAGTAGGGCCACCCTGAGGAATCATACATGGCCTTTTCTTGGATGCTGCCTTGGCTGAAGCTTTTGCCTTAGCCTTTGATTTGGCCTTAGCCTTTGCTTTGGCCTTTGACTTGGCAGCGCCCTTGGCACCAGCCTTGGCTTTTGCCTTTGCCTCACCCTTTGGCCTCTCAGAAAAGGCCTTGTTCATGCGTTCCAGGTGCTCATCCACCTGGCTGTCACCAGATTCCTCACAGGGCAAGGCTGCACCTCCAACCTCAAAAGGCTGGCTCTTCAGGTTTGACGGGCTCTTCCGGTTTGGGAGGGTCCTCTACATTGGCTGCACCATCCTGAAGAGCCTTGACCTTTTTGGGATAGACCTGGAGATTCAATCTGGTCTTCTCTGAAGGCTGCTGCTGGCCCTGCATGAGCATGTTGTAGAGCATGCCGAGGAGCGGATTTGATGCCATTGCTGCCATATCATGGGACCCTCCAGATGGGGAGTGCTTTTGTCCCCTCAATGGATGCAAATCCTTGGCGCTTGCTCTCAGCCACTTGCCTGGTTTGTGAGCTGCTAGCTCCACAGGCATCAGCTCCTGACCCTCAAAAGCTTTGCTCAGCCCAGAGCATGAGCGAGGATCACCTGGAAACTCAATGATCTTGGGTTGCAGGCCCTCCCTTTGGGTCTTCAGCTGCCTTTTCAATTCTTCTAGAAGGGCATGCTTTTCCTGAGGTGTCCCAGCCATGTCGAAACACTCGGCACAAGTTTGGGTAATGTGCCCCATGGTCTTCTCACATGGCATGTACAAGCC